GTCCCCCCGCGCCCGAGCCAGGCGGCACCACTGCAGGTACCGGGCTGGGCTGGGGGCTGCGGGCGGGCCGGCCGCATCGCTCCCCGCGGTCTCGGGCCTTCCTCGTCCCGCTGCCGCTCCGCTTTCCCTCCCGCCGCGCCTGGCGGTGCTGCCCGCGGGGCCCGGCTGCCCCCGGCGCCAGCGAGGCGACTCCCCGCTCCGAGCGCGGGCCCTGGTGCCTCCAGCCTTGCCAGGTCTTAAAATATGAAATGATCCAACTGGAACCCCCAAATGGTTGCAGTTTCTGCAAATTGTCCTCCACTCAGAGGATGCAAACGTCTTCTCTTTCTTACTTTCTATTGCTCTCTGTAACTAGGCCACAAGTGAGTGAGAGAGGACTGGGTCACCCAACTTGAAGTGTTTCTTTATGTCGCACCAGCCAGCATGAGAAAGCGCTGACAGCAAACCCAAAAGGCAGTTGAGGTTGCTTCAGTGTCTCAGGTGTTGCATATTGTTTTTGGCTCAGATCAAGTGGGAGCATCCGAATCCCAGGACCTCCAGGCTCGGGCCTGCATGTAGGAGGCCGCCAAGGGATTTGGGAGTGTCCGAAGCCCCAGGGTGAGAGCCTGAGATGGAGGATGCTCGCCGGTTGTTAGCACCGTATGTGGGTTTTGGAACAATTGAGTTCTGTTCCAGCAATAGGATTTGGAACAGATTTGGCTGGCTTGACCTAGAACATGCAATATAAAAAAATATGCTACATCAATTAACTGCCTCAAAAGTTACCATCTATTTTGAATACTTCTAGTATTATCTATTTTACATCATACAAGGGTTGAAATCATCATACAAATATGATAATTATCGTACGCCTGACAGTGCTAGCTGTGGAGTCTGCCCAGCAAAAACCATGCCCAGGCAAAGCACCTTCCATGGTGCTTGGAGCAGTAAAAAATAGAGGAAAATGTTCAGCTTTTGTGACAAGAGTCGGATCCTCCCTGGCAAAAAGCGCTGCTCAGTGTGCCTGAGGCCCAGGCAGACAGAGGGGCTCTAAGTCGAGAGAGCATCTTTATAGACAGGGGCGGTAGCCCCAGCAGGAGAAGTCCTGGGCAAGGAGGAGCCCAGCAGGAGTTCTGGGAGTGGGGAGCACAGACAGCCTTGGGTCCTCTTGTAATACCCTGCCCCCTTCATCCTCTTACCCATCAGCTGTCTCTTAGTTTTCTCTTCCTGCCTTCTCTGTCCCAGCTCATCCTGTCTCCCCTCCTTTTCTCCCCCTCAGGGACTTGCATCTTTTACCCTGAAAGTTCAAATCTGTGATTACAATTTCCCCATAGCAGCCTGTAATAGATAACTGCTTACTCCTTACTTCTTCTACCACCAATTGCTTTCTGTTGACAGGTAACTGCTACCCTCCCCTCATCCCCAGGCTTGTGTCTGTCCTTCCTTCCATGAGCACCTGGGTTTTTGGAACAGTTCAGAAATGCCAACCATCGCTGAGCCAAAATGTCTGGATAGTTAACACCTTGAGACTTGTAGTGACACATCTCCTTTCCAGGTCGCTGCTCAGATATCTGCTCATGGAAGCGCACTGCAATTCTTCTTGCTTGTATTAGTATTGTAGCAGTCATCCTGAGTTTTTACTTGGGTAAGTGTTTGAATTATCTTCAAAGAAAATATTGCTTAGTGCTTGAGACTAACTGGTTTCCAGATTATCAGATGCATCTAGGCACAAACACACAATAAACTTTTGCAAATTTCCCCTTATTTCAAGGTGGCCCTTGGGATACGTTCCTTATAACAGAGGTTGAGGATTGGAGAGGTGAAACCCATGACAATAGAAACATAAGGGCAACATTTACTCCTAGCTTACTTATGACTTTGGAAAGGAACGTTAGTATTTGTGCCTGTTTTGAAATTCAAGGCAAGAGTCTATCAGTTTGTGTGGGGTAGGTTCTTCTTTGCAATCACTAAGATTCTAGCCTTAACTCTTCAAAAAAATGAAGTGTCTTGTGCTTTAGTGGCCACAGAAACTGATGGGGACACCAAAAAAGTGTTGCAATGGCATTGAAATTTCCAGGAGCTTGGCAGCTGCTAAATTCACGATCCTTTTAGAAGATCAGAACTGTTTTCCATGTCTGCACAGCACGTAGCATCATCTAGGTAATGTACCAGTGAGACAATGCAGATCTGAGCCCAGTGTTCTGCATTGTTCTAGGGCTGTGCAATTCCACTGAACTGTTCTCTTCAGTGGGGAAACATTCACGGCTGCGCTAGGCAGCTCCAGGACACATGGAGTGGGGAGAAATGTGACAAGTGTTGCGGTATTTTTTGGCAGGAGTTAAATCATCAGGCAAGAACTCTACTGTCTCACCTGCTGTGAATCCCTGCCCTGCTGACTGGCTGTGTTACCAAAATGAATGTTACTACCTGTCGGAGCAAGAAAACAACTGGAACTCCAGTCAGAGAGATTGTTCCTCCAGGAAAGCCTCCCTCTTTGTGCCTAAAAACCAACAGGAACTGGTAAGAGAACAAAATAATCCCACTGGTTTCATTCTCTCCTGCCTCTGGGGACGTGTGGAACATCACCTCTCTCCATCCTTCCTTTCAATTAAATTCCTTTACAACCAGGACAAGTCCCAGTGCAGAGAAATACGGGCACTTGATTTCACTTAGTGTGACAGTTGTCAGCCTCAGCGTGAGTCACCATGTGAGAAGAAGCCCTATGGATTACTTGAGTTAATGTTTCCATTTATTATGTCTGAAGGGCAGCGCCTGAGACCACTGTCTAGGGAAGTGGGGAAAGATAAAATTTCAGTTTATCAGGCTAATCATGCCTACCAGACAGACATTCCTTGGAGCTGGCAGGACACACCCAGCTGCATGGATACTTCTATTAACGCTGACTTGGGAGTGAGGAAACCATTTTTGTTTTCTCTAGAGCAGTGTTTCTCAACCTGTATGTCATGATCCAATAGTGGGTCACAAGAATATATGACCAGGTCACAAACAAACTTTAAAAATGGATGACCTCCTTTACAGGAGAAAAATATGGGAAATGGTGAACTTTCCCTAGCAGGCTGGCAGATTTTCAGCCTGTGAGGGGATGCTTGGGGCCCCCACGTGCCACATACCCGTCCCCTGCCCCACACACTGCGGGCAACAAGTCAGGAGTGAGGGACATGGGGTTGGGACTGGCCATTGATGTTTACAAATGGGTCCTGGTACAAAAAAGATTGAGGATCACTGCTGGAGAGATTCGCCATGTCTCAAATGTTCTGTTCCAGTGCAGGGATGTTAGAAGAAAACCCACCCTGCTCTGGGCCATAAGGAAGACTTCTCTCTCCTCCCTGGTATAATTGCATCAGTGGGCAAGGTACAAAAGATCCCCATGGCCAGTCAGGAGAGAATTTTTCTAGCTGCAGGCAGTGCTGTCCCAGCCTCATCACAAACTGTCAATGGGGGACGACCTTATTAGCGACCTAACAATCGAAGGGAACCTGGGTGACAGTGACCACGGGCTGATCACCTTCACCATCCACCGTAAAGATGGCAAGTCAGGAAAGCTGGCTTTGACAAGCTCAGGAAGGTTGGTGGTGAGGCCCGAAGGGACCACAACCCAAAGGGGAGGGTAGTTTAGGAAGAGTGGTTGCTCCTCAAGGGATGCACCCTGGATGCACAAGCAAAGTCTATTCCATCTCGGAGGAAAGGCAGCAAAAGGGCACAGTGGCCCCCTTGGCTCAGAAAGGAACTAGTGGACCTCCTGCGTCTGAAAAGAAAGGCCTACAAAGGATGGAGGATGGGATCCACCTCCAAGGAGGAATATTCTGCACTGGTCTGAACCTGCAGAGAGTGAACCAGAAAAGCCAAGGCTGCGACTGAACTCCAACTGGCTACAAGTATCAAGGACAATAATAAGTCTTTTTTTAGATACGTGAGGAGCCAGAGGGAAAGCAAGGGCAACATTGGACCCTTGCTAAACCAGACGAGACAGCTGACAACCAACGCCCAGGAAAAAGCCAACTTGCTAAATGGGTATTTTGCTTCGGTCTTTCACCAGTCCCATGGGATGCCCCTGCCCATTACGGGATAGGAAGGCCTAGGTGAAGGAGATTCCTTACCCTCCATCAATACTGACCTTGTGAAGGAAGACCTTAAGAGGCTGGATACCTTCAAGGCAGCTGACCCCGACAGCTTACACCCCAGGATACTCAAGGAGCTGGTGAGTATCATAGCCCAGCCCCTGGCACGGATCTTCGAGAATTCTTGGTGCTCCGGTGAAGTGCCCGATGCTTGCAAGAAGGCCAGTATGGTGCCTATCTTCAAAAAAGGGAGGAAAGTGGATCTGGAAAACTACAGGCCCATCAGCCTAACCTCTATCCCGGGGAAGATACTGGAAAAGATTATCAAAGAGACCATTCTCAACAGACTGGCTGATGGCAAAATCCTGAGGGACAGCCAGCATGGGTTTGTCGCAAGTAGGTCTTGCTTGACCAATCTTATTTCCTTTTACAACCAGGTGACCTGTCACTTGAACAAGGGGGAAGAGATTGATGTCATATATCTTGACTTCAGAAAAGCCTTCGATCTGGTATCCCATGATCACCTTTTAGCAAAACTGGCCAACTTGCAACCTCGGCTTCACCACGGTCCACTGGCTGGGGAACTGGTTCCACGGTCAGACCCAGAGGGTGGTGGGTGATGGAAGTCAATCGTTGTGGTGCGCTGCAACCAGTGGGCTCCCTCAAGGCTCTGTCCTTGGGCCTATATTATTCAACATCTTCATTAATGATGTGAACACTGGAGTCAGAAGCGGACTGGCCAAATTTGTTGATGACACCAAACTTTGTGGAAAAGCATCCATGCCTAAAACAGGAGGGTGATACAGGCTGACCTTGACAGGCTTCGGAAATGGGCGGATGAGAACCTCATGGTGTTTAACACTGAAAAATGCAAGGTTCTCCACCTTAGGAAGAAAAACCCGCAGCATGTTTATAGGCTTGGCAGTGCTACGCTGGCTAGCACTACGGATGAAAGGGACTTGGGGGTCATGATTGACCGCAAGATGAACATGAGCCTTCAATGTGATGCTGTGGCTAGTAGAGCAAGCAAAATGCTGACTTGCATCCATAGATGCTTCTCAAGCAAATCCCAGGACGTAAATTCTCCCATTGTACTCGGCCTTGGTGAGGCCGCAGCTGGAGTACTGTGTCCAGTTTTGGGCTCCACAATTCCAAAAGGATGTAGAGAAGCTTGAGAGCGTCCAGAGGAGAGCCATGCGCATGATCAGAGGTCAGGAAAACAGACCTTATGATGAGAGTCTCAGAGCTATGGGACTCTTCAGCCTGGAAAAGCGCAGGCTCAGGTGTAATCTGGTGGCTGCCTATAAGTTTATCGGGGTGTTCACCAGGATCTGTGGAAACATCTGTTCACCAGAGTGCCCCAAGGGAGGACAAGATCGAACGGTCACAAACTCCTCCATTAATGTTTCAGGCTGGACAAAGGGAAGAACATCTTTACTGTCTGGGCCCCCAAGGTTTGGAATAGACTGTTGGAGGTGGTTCAGGCACCTACTTTGAGCACCTTCAAGAGCCATTTGGATGTTTATCATGCTGGGATCCTATGACCCCTGCTGAATTCCTGCCCCTGGGGCAGCGGGCTGGACTCGAAGTTCTTCCAAGGTCCCTTCCAGCCCTAATGTCTATGAATCTATTAATCAAACCCCAGCAGATGGGAATCCCCACGGAAAATACTGTGATAAAGATTATGGGCAGTCCTGGCTGCAATGCATGGTATAGGCAGCCTGGGTAGATCTGACATAAATTAGAGCCATTTTTGGAGCTGAATTTGAGTGTGTTGGGGGCTGTGCTGCAAACATTTTTCACCTTGCCCCAGCTGTGTCTGCCCAGAAGCCATCTGTGTAGTGCCTTCTTGTGATAGTGTATGATTTCATACTCGTCCCTCAGTTAAGAGGATCGTAGCATAAGGCTTATAGTTCTCGTTTTCACGATTCTCTGCAATTTAATTCCTGACTCTGTCACTCTTCTCATTTCCTCCTCCTACTTCCCTGTTAGATTCCCAGGCTCCTCCCAAACTTCCTGCCTCATGACTCACTTTGTCTCCTCCCACACTTCATGTGGCCTGTTCTCTTTTGTTGCTTCCAGTATCTGGAGCTGTCTCCTGCTTCTTGACTGTTCGGGGCTCCATTTCTGCCTTCCTGCAGGAACCCTGCCTGTTGTTATCTCTGTACCCATAACTTCTCTATCCTCTGCTACCTGAACTGTTTTGTTACTGTCTTTCTCTCAGCTCTGATGAACAGGGAATATAATTTGTCCTAGGTTTTGTAAATTTCTGTTTTTATGGTTCTGTTTAAATGAGGGACTTTAAATTCATCCATCTGCACAGGCTGGATGAGGGGCACAGGGCTGGTCCAAGGGCCAAACTAGCCCCATGTTCTTCATGCCACATGTCTGCTGGCTCTATTCCTGTATGCCACATACAGCATGCACCAGCCTCAGCCTGGGCACTGCATGTGATGTGGGGCCAGTGTAGGGTGTATGCTGCATGTGGTGCTTACACTGGACCAGCTCTTTGCCTGGCTCTTGCACAAAAGGCTGTCTGTGGGTCATATTGGGGCTGGCCCTGGATCCAGCATACAGGGCCAGTCTGGGTACAGCATGTAAACAAAACTGGCCCCACACACTACATGCAGAAGATGGCCTGGAGCAGCCCTGCACACTGTATGGGGTGCATGGGAGTGGTCTGAGACTCACAGGCAGCACCTCACATTGCACCATAGGGCTCCATAGGCTGTATGTGGCCTATGGCTCATGTCTTTGGTACCCCTGATCTAAATCACTAATAATGGTCTGTATCTCAGGATTCTTATTGTAGACTTTGTCCATCTCGGACAGCTGAGCTCCTCCATGGCTCTGCTTAAATGCTTCCCAACAGTCCCTGGAAATCTTTTGAGCAGAGTCTTCCAAGCAGGCTGAGTCTTGAGCACACTACAGGATCAATACCCATGAACTAAGGGGTTCTTGAGCCGATTGGCTGGGACATTACCCTTCATTCCTCCCCTCTTGCACTGATTCTTCTGGGAGATACATTACCCTTAAGTCCTCCCCTCTTGCACTGATTCTTCTGGGAGAAAGGAAGGATCCTTCTTTCATTTTGTAGTCAGGAATAAAGATTTTACATGTTGGAAAGTGGAAAAGTACCGTTTAACCAGGAGATTCCTACCTGTGTTTTTCCTACAGCAGTTTATAACACAAATAACAAAGCAAGATCCCTGGATTGGACTTTACAAGAGAGGAGAAGACTTATTTTGGGTAAATGGAACTGCAATGAATAAGAATCTGTAAGTTGATCCCAACACTTCCACCAGAGTCATAAAACAAGGGAAGGATTCCTGAGACTGGCAGTGATTGGAAGGGAAAGCTAAAGTACAGAAAGGAGCATCTGTTATAAAGCTGAGGGTCTGAGACTGAACAGAGGATGAGGGACTGTGGTAGAAGATGGATTAGGGACTCCATCATTTAGCATGGATAAAGTCACAGGAAGAATTGAGGCCAGGGAAGAAGAGAGAACACCCAGAACAAAGACCACTGGGTGGACAGGAGGAGGGGAGGGTGAGGCGGTGGTAAACGAATTGTAGAAAGAGTGATAGGAAAAGTAGTATTAGATGAAGAGAGCCCAGAGTCAGAAGAACTGGGAGGAGAGAAGGGTAGCATAAAGGCAATAGGCAAATTGTAAAGGGACACAGAGGAGAGTTCTTTTGCTTTAGCAAAGCAGAGGTCAACTATTTCTGGCGAGGTGGAGAGAGTGGCAGACTGGAGGGGACCCAGAGGGGCCTGAGACAGTGTGAGAAGACACCTTCTTCTAGTCTGGTTCCCATTGGGACCTGCAAGACATTAAAATTATGGCAGGATTAACATGTTATCCACATCATAAATTGTAACATGCTACATTTTCACCCCAATTTACAGGGCAAACCATTCATAGGACAAAAAGAGATACAAAGATGGTTCACATTATATGTGGAACCTCTTTGTAGCTGGTTTGAAATGCATCTTAAATTGAACATGGGACATACGTCTGTCTGATATGGGGCTGCCCTGCATGGATATATGGCTCAGCATGGGGCAATCCTGGGCCTTTAAAAACCTGGGGCATGGGAACCTGAAACAGGGAACAGGTTCTTCCCAGCCTAGATCTCTACACCTTGGGCTTTAAATCCCGGTTCCTGCAGCCCAGCTGAATGGCCTACACGTTGATTTAAAAGGCCAAGGTTCTGAGGCTCGCAGTGTCTGTGCATGTGCAAGTGCCGGGCAGGGGAAGCCCATAGACTTCTCCCCGCCCTGCACCTTTAAACCAGTGCCCCAGGAATTCCTTGCAGGGCATCTCCATGTGAGTTTAAAGCTTCTGGTGTGTGTGTGTGGAGCCTGGGACTGTGATCCTTGAGCTCCAAACATGCTGCGGGAGGCAGGGTCAGTGACCTGTTCCCAATGCCATGCTCCCTACAGCAGTAGCTACATGATTGGGGCTGTAGGGGAAAACTAGTCCCCGGGTTCGTTAGGTGGAGGCTCAGACGAATGATAACATAAGTTTAAAGACTTGATTTATTAAAGAATACATTCTGAACAGACAACTGCCCTGAGAGGAAACTGTCTGTTCTACTTGGCATGCAACTTGATTAAATAGGAAGTATGACATCATAGTAACAGATACACCAATCATTAATAGCCACACTCTTCCTATACTAGTATTCTGTTTTTACAAAACTAGAATAAGATTGTTCCAGTTTGTGCTTAGCCTAGCAGTTTGGGGTCATGCCCTTTGACTTCCTCATAGCTTAAGCTGGGTACGTGATCTGCTCGCTTACACATAATGGCGATTGACTCCATTCTGTTCCCCTTCGGGGTGTCCCATGCCTTGCAGATGGCATCATAAGTTGTTCATAACTCCAGCCAGAGGCTGAGCCAAATTCTGCCCCTTGCTGGACCTCTCGCACTCTGCCCTTCTCCGGGCCTCACACATACCGCCTCTTTTCACAGGGCCTCTTTCATTACGTCCACTTACAATGGGCCTCCCTCATCGTGCCTTGCTCTATAAGCAGCCCCCTTGGGCCATCAGTCTTATCTACTCTCACTTCAGCCAGTCCACAAACAGCCCTTCAGGTCGCTCAAGCCTCCCTACTCTATGTGGCACTGGCCTTATGCCTCACACCGGGCTGAACACCATCCCTAGCCAGGCAACCTATCCAAGTTTTTCGCTGTTGTGGGTGTTGGCCCATGTGCAGCCCTTAAGGTTGCCCAGGCAGCCCTACTCTACACACCCCCAGTGCAGCCCTTCAGGCCTACCTGTGCAGACCCAACTCTACACCCCAACATACAGTCCTCCAGGCACCACCGTGTACCCTATTCTGTGCAGGCCTCCATATACACTTCTGTCCTCTGACAGGGGCTCAAGGTCTTATACCCCATGGGCTCAGGTGTCCACAGACTTGCCCACAGCCTGTCCCTGATCTAAAGTTACCTATTGGGTAGTGGGAGCTGGGGTTATAAGGTGGCCCTACCTGCCTTTCACTGGGGAGGCAATGGGTCTGGCATTTCTGGTGAACTGCCCCACCATTGGCACTCCCACCAGACCATCCTTCCTCAGCAGGGTGTAGTTTCAAGTCATACCCAGGACCAGGAGCCTCCTGCCATCCCCACAGCACCTGTACTTACCTCCAAGGTGTTCTTGAGCAGCCACTCAACCAGGTTGCAATTTTCCAGCTGCCAGCAGCAGACTGCTACCTGAACCTTGAGGGCCTGAGCTAAACTGGAGTCCGCTCAGCCCTCTGCTCCAATCATATGGCCTTCCTGCGGTCCTGTGACTGCCTCATCAGGGCTGACCTGCACCTGCTGGCTGCTCTCAGCCCTTCAAGTGGCAGGCATCTAAAGTGCTCTGCCATACCCTGCCAATCTGAACTACAGGAAAAATTGGGTGAGCTCTGGCCAACTTTGGCCAGTTGTCACTGATGTCTGTAACTGTTAATCCATCAAGGGCTGCTCTTGTCTGCTCTTGCTGAGCCTTTGAAAGAAGGCTAAGTACATCCAGTGCTTGTAAAAAAAGGTCTGTCATTGCCCTCAGATACAGGATAGTACAGGGGCAGCCATTGGAGCCTTTCGGCATATGATTATTTGCTCCCATTATAAAATACACTGAAGTACAAACCCCAAGGAGTAGGAGTGTATATGTGCGTCTTTTATCCAAAGAAAATGTCTTTAAAAAGAAATTAAACTGGGCTCTTCGTAAGAACAAAAGAGCTGCGAGGCTGCATCAGTGCACAGGTCCATCTGGCCCACCATCCTATATCTCACAGTGGCACAAAGCAGATGCTGAGGGAAAAAGTACTTGTGCAGGGCCTATCCAGACGCATGTGTCCTGTGCCTTCTTCCCATACAGATTACAGTATTTAGAGGCTTAGGGAGCCCTAAAATAGAGGCTTCACCCCTTACCTTCATGGGGAAGTGCCCTAATCACTAGAGTCCTATGAAAACCATGGGGGAACTCTCTCACCCACACATGCACACACCTGCACCTATGTTCTAGGAGAAAGGAGTGATCTCTGCTTCACTTTTCAAAGGAAGCCCACTCTTTTTTAGGAGAAATCTTCGTGCTTTGGGTCCTGCATGGACAGAGGCATATCTAGCCACCACTGCAGGAGGCAGGTTTTCCTTTATTCCTGCTTCCTTCTGGCTACCATAAGAAGCTTCCAGCTCAGCATGCTGACTCTCTTGAGATGCTTAACTGTAGGCACTGAGTCAGGACCTGGGGACAAAGCCTAGGAAGCTGGGACCTTCTCCAGCTGCCTTTGCAAGTCCAGCTTTGCAAGGCTTAATTTGAGGCATGTTACCAGATTTGCCCATTACTTTGGGGTGTGCTCATTTATTAGGGATATGTTTCTAGGGTCTTGGTAATTCTGTCAATGTGCTGCTTGTGTTACTTGTGTTTCTATACGGAGCTGTATATCTCCCTTCTGCAAGTCCTCACCCCCAATGGAGCTATCTTGCAGCACTCAGTTTCAGTGGGGCTGGGTTCCTCCAGTCACCACATCAGTCATACACACAAACACACACAGATTAATGTGACATGCCTGACCCGGCCAGGTTGATCAGCATGGACAGGCTGACACCCTCATATGCCAAGAATCAGTTCATCAGAGCAACAATAAACTGCAGTCAGACACAAGCACACAGGTGAACAGAATCCCTCTGAATCTGGCTGTGTGTCCAGCTGACACCCTCATGGGCCAACGTTCAGTTCATAAGGGCATGTCTGAGTCAAACTGGGTCAATCAGCCTGTACAGGCTGATCCCCGTATGTGTTTCAAACTCAGCACATCCCAATCTTTGGCCTCTTGATGAGCAGACCCTACAGTATTTTTGGGCTTCACAGGGATCTTTAGCTTAGGTAAAAGAAGCGTTGCTGCAGAGCAAGTGGGGAAGGAGGAGAAGAGAAGAAAAAATATACCCAGTTACTCCCAGTTTGACTATAAAAGTTATTTATTGCTAAGCATATGAAATATATAATAGTACTAGTAGTAATAGACATGCAAAAGAAAAA